TTCTACTGGGGCGTCGACGAGAAGCTCATCATCTACGATTTTGTTCCGAACGGCAGCCTCGCCAACGCCCGTTACAGTAAGTTCTCTCCCTCCCTTTTCCCCAATTTTCCTCATATGCGCAAGTTAGTACATGAACAAGGTATTTTTTCTAAAGTGCGCCGAAGTCATGACGTTCAACGGTGGAGTAGGTGTAACTAAAAATCTTATTGTCTATGGCTTGTTTGGTTAGCATAAAACATGAAAAAGAATCTCAAGTGGCCTTTGCCTTTTGTGAAAAAAATTATGAGGTAGTCTTATAAGTTAAAATTAAAATTAAAATTTTACAGAATTTGGTTTAAGAAGTGGGTAGAACTGATACTATTTATTACTTGCTCGATTAAGCTTTGAGAATGTTTTACCTTATTTTTCTTCTTTAAACTCCAAAAATTATAATTTGTTAAAAAAAAAAAAGGTTTAAATTTTATGATGAGTACTTAAGTAAAATTATTTTTTTAAAAATATTAAATTAATATAAAAATATAAGATAATCCAAAAAAATATTAATTTATAGTGTAAAAAATTAAACTAAAAGCATCATGACAATAATAATAAAATAAAATAAAATAAAAACACGTACTTAATGCATGGGAATATCAATTATTTCTATCGATAGCGAAATGGGGGTCATAATTCCAAATCTGCATACTTGCCCCCTCCGATATTGACGGGTGCTTTAGATTTCGTGGCTCTCTTTTCCTAACATGCGCATTTTTGCAGGGAAGGTGGGCTCTTCGCCGAGCCATCTACCATGGGAGGCCCGTGTCAGGATTGCCAGAGGGTTGGCCCGTGGGCTAGCGTATCTCCACGAGAAGAAGCACGTGCATGCAAATTTAAAGCCCAGCAACATCCTGTTAGGCCCCGATATGGAACCCAAGATCGGAGATTTCGGTCTTGAAAAGCTTGTGACGGGGGAGAGTAGTAGTTACAAATCGGGAGTTTCGGCTCGGAATTTCGGAAGCAAGAGGTCCACATCCCGGGACAACTTCCAGGACCTTTCTGTTGGGCCTAGCCCAAGTCCAAGTCCAAGTTCAATGGGTGGAATATCTCCTTATCACGCACCGGAATCTCTCCGGAGCCTGAAGCCCAACCCAAAGTGGGATGTGTACTCGTTTGGGGTCATTCTTCTAGAGCTCCTAACGGGTAAGGTCATAGTGGTTGACGAAGTGGGCCAGGGAAATGGGCTCGTGGTTGAGGACAAAAACAAAGCGTTGAGGATGGCTGACGTGACAATCCGTGCTGACCTGGAGGGCAAAGAGGATGCCTTGCTGGCATGCTTCAAGCTAGGGTACAGTTGTGCATCTCCCATCCCACAAAAGAGACCTACAATGAAAGAAGTTGTACAAGTTCTTGAGAAAATCCCATCTTTGTCAATTTCATCATACCCCTTCAGACTATGATGTATGTTTTGATTATTACCCAAAAAAACAAAAAAATGTAATGTGTTGAACATTGATGACTGACATGTGGTTTTTAGTTGTTTGTTTCTTTTTGTCAAAGGTTTTGAGTTGGAAATGTACGACAATGTCGTGCCTTTTGTATATTATATCTAATAATAGATTTTATAATAAGATAATCTCTTAATCTTACCTCACATATTCCTCTGCAAATGTTGTGGATAATTCATATGCAAAACATTTTTTATTCTAATTGGGGGTTGATTTACATAGAAAAAAAAAAGGTTCTAGTAGCTCAAATTATAGAGGTCTTCCTTGTGTGGGTTAACTAACAATTCTTTTCTTATCAGCATAACTAACAATTTATTTTGTTCTATGGTTGCATTAAAAAGCTGATCTAAAAAAAAAAAAAGAAATATATGTACGAAAATAATATAATTACAATATCACATGATATTGTAAACTTATAACATAATGCGTTATTATATTTAATTAATTTTTTATTTAAAATTGACCATGATATTATATGTATTTATTTATTTAATATTATATTATACTTTATTTAATATTATGTAAAATTATAAATTACATGATAACTATAACATTATTAGTGTATGTACATGTGTATATATATATATATATATATATATGTATGGTTCCAAAAATAGAAAATGAATCAGTACAACTACAACCCATATGGGCTGTAATTGGGTTTGATCTTTAGAAGGCTTTCGCAACAAACGCAAAGGGCCCAAGGTGAAAAGGAACGGAGGTTCGGTCATCGGTGACAGTGACAGCTGGTTTTTGAATTGAAAAGAATCCCGCTCCTTCTTCCATTTTAAAATCCCCCAACTTTTTCCGGCTGACACAAAGAGCCGTTTATAGCGCAAAAAGAAGAGGCCAGCGCCAGCGGCAATACTAAACATAGAGAAACAAGACCACAGAATAGAGAGATTTCGAGATCGGAAATGGCGACAAACATCGGAATGATGGATGCGGCGTATTTCGTCGGCAGATCTGAGATCCTCGCTTGGATTAACTCCACTCTCCAACTCAATCTCTCCAAAGTCGAAGAGGTTTTTTCTTTTCTTTTCCTTCAAACGTCGATTTCGTTTCTTTAATCCGAGAATTTTCCGATGAACTAGTTTGGATGCGTCCGTCGCAGGCTTGTTCTGGTGCGGTTCACTGCCAACTAATGGATGCGGTTCACCCAGGGATGGTGCCGATGCACAAGGTCAACTTCGACGCCAAGAGCGAGTACGAGATGATCCAGAACTATAAAGTCCTTCAGGACGTCTTCAACAAACTCAAGATCACCAAGGTTTTATTCGTTTCCATTATTTCAATTCCAATATTGTATCGTCAGATTTCTTCAGATCTGTTAGGTTTTTTTTTTTTTTAATAATTAATAAACAATTGTTATTGTTTGGAATTCTTTTCCGTAGAGTTATTTTCTCTGTCTCAAATTTTAATTAAATATTTTTTTGGGGGGGATTTTAGTATATTGAAGTGAATAAGCTGGTGAAAGGAAGACCGCTTGATAATTTGGAGTTCATGCAATGGATGAAGAGATACTGTGATTCTGTCAATGGAGGACTTGTTCACCAGTAAGTTTCCAAGCCGAATTTCTCCTAATTGGTTAATTTTCTCTTATAATTTATGCTGCTTCAAATCTTCGATCCTCTTCATATTATCTGTTCATGAATTTGAGATGAAATGTTGTTTTTGGTTTTAATTTCTGATCTGCTTGAACCCTTCAACCCTACTTTGTCATATTTTTAGGTGTTCTTTAAGAATTCAAACTAAATTTGCTATTAAATTTCGGTGTGTTTATACCAATGGATTGTGCTTTTAGTCAATATTTGAGAGTTCTATCAAAGATCAATGGCTGGTTAAGGCATCCTGGAGATCGTTATGAAGAAACTTATTGAAACCCTTCTGTATATGGTTTGTGTACTTTGGGTTATGGGAGAACAATTATCGTGTGACTGATTTGCATTTTGACTACTTTGTTTAGCTACAATCCCTTGGAAAGGAGAGAAGCTAGTAAGGGAGGAAAAGAGGTAAGCAAGAAATCTGCATCATCACAACCCTCAACCAAGGGCTCAACCGCTGCCGCCAGACCCCCATCTTCTCACAATGCTAGAAGGAATGACACTGCTTCAGCAAACCCTGCAAACCCATCGGGGAAAAGATCTAAACCATCTAGTCCAGTGAAGAGTGCTTATGATGAGCAGGTAATTATATTCTTACAGGTTTTTAATTTCCATGTTGAGAATTTAAAGACTCTGATGCATAACATACTTTATATGCAGATCACAGAGTTGAAGCTGTCTGTGGATAGTCTAGAGAAAGAGAGGGACTTCTACTTCTCAAAGCTGAGAGATATTGAGATTCTGTGCCAGACTCCTGAGATTGAGCACTTACCTGTACTGTTCTCTTTTCTCTATTCAGATGCTAAGAGTATTGAACTGAATGGTATTCTGATTGGTAATGCATGTCTTTGTACAGATTGTTGAAGCAGTTAAAAGGATCCTATATGCTACAGATAACGATGCATCAGTAGTGACAGAAGCACAAGCCATGGTGTCATCCGTTCATCAGAAAGAAGTAGACCTCTTGAGTCCTATAGCAGAGTTATCAGAAGAAAAATCCCTTTCTGAAATTCAGAAGAGAAAAAACATTCTCAATATCGATATTGATGCTGCTGGTATTTCAACATTGTCTCCAAGACAAAGGCTCTCCGATGCCTCAGATGTCCATTGCAGTGGGTCACCTCTTATGACATACTGATTGGCTCATGACCTTTGAGGATCCATTCTTTTGTATCTTTAACAAAACAGTTGTGTCAAAACTTTTCCGTGGTGTCCTGTATTGTTCTAAATGCATATCCCTAATATGTTTAGGACATGAAACACTAGTCTATTCAGAGGGTATAAGAATAATACTATGTTCTCTTTATTCTCGTGCTTCAACTTGTCAACTTGTCTACTTTTTATTGATAATATGAGAAATAGTAGTTAGAGGATTACAATTATGAGTCTATTGTTTTATAATCTAGATTGTTCTAAATTGTAAAATTACTAAAATAAAGACTCTTAGATGAGGGGAAGGGCTCTTAATATCGAGAAACCCTCCTCATCTAAGAGTTAAGTGTTTGACAATTTAAATTAATGTTTTACAGTTTGGACTGTAAAATACATTTTTGTACAATTATAATGTTTAAAAAAAAAGTGAAAATCAATATATTTTGACATTTAAAATGTCATAATTACGGATTGAATTATTTAAATACTTTTATTAAATCTTTTTAGTATGTGCCTTGTGCCTTAATTCATTTAAGATATTTAAATCTTTTCATTATTGTTCTAAATATTTTGATGTCCTGACCTTTTGTAATCTCATATTTGGATATTACTTCTTCCTTTTTTTCTTCTTTTTTTTCTTTGATTGATAGAGGGACTGACAAATGGAGATGTGTGCATGATACACGGCCCTCTTCTTCTGGCTAACAAATAGTCTTGGAAACAACTAATAGCTACCTCTGATTCAAACATGAAATAAGGAGAAACGGTTTTCTATTTGTATATAATGTGCATCCTCAGTATCACTCGTGTAAATCAAAATCTAAAACTAAGAATTTCTGATATATCATATTTTCAATATGAACACAAAATTCAGGAAGGTAATTCTCTTAACTCTCTTTCTCACCTTGTTTACTTGATAATTTTGTACCAAATTCATGAAAATTTTGTTTGGTAGGAATCAGATATCAAGAATGCAGACGGAGGAGCAGTAGGGAAAAAGGTGGAAACTGTGGAAATCCGGTCCTCGCCAGGGCAAGGCCAAGAGCAGAGGACAGTTCAGGTGACCCACCAAGTCCATCAAAAGAGCAACACAGACACCAGTGGCGGTGTCCTGCAAGGTGCTGCTGCGGCTGTTGTCTCCACTCTGGAGTCCGCCAAGAATGTCATCTCTGATAACTAAATGCTTCAGAATCCCTCGGAGTTTTTATTTTTATTTTTTTGTCATCTTGTTTTTATGGACCATCCAAGTTGAAAAGTTGAGCCCCTTTTACATTCTCATTTGTATTTTTATGTTGTACTCTAGAATCATGGTTTCAAAGATCATGCTCAAAAGAGAGATGTCACCACCACCAAAAGAAAAATTAAAATAATCTTTATTCTTCTCCAATCTTCTTCGAATCTCATTCTCTTTGCTTTATGCCTCAAGGCCAATAATTCATATCCCTTGTATGATATGTGGGCATATATTTCTTTTCTATTTCTCACTCTTTTCAATCTTAGACTAGATTGGGAACTTGTTTCTGCTCCAAATTTTCCAGGTCTGTAATCCAAATATTCGTCTCTTATTTTTGGCTATCTAGTTTGGTGTTTGATGTTAGGTGTATGCTATTAGGTTGAAAGGAGTTGCAGAAATGGGGTTGGCAATATCTAGATTGGTGAAGATGCTGTTTGCTAAGAAGGAAATGAGGATATTGATGGTGGGTCTTGATGCTGCTGGAAAAACAACCATCCTTTACAAGCTCAAACTTGGAGAGATTGTTACTACCATACCCACAATCGGTTCTACTCTCTGCCTTCAGCACCATACCTCTCTCCATACTCTTTCTTTTATGTTTGCACCTTGAACTGGCATTAGATTTCGTTATCTATTATAGCTATAGCCTATAGATACGGAACTGTGATTAGAGCTTGTAACTTCTATATTAGAGGTTTCAGGTTTGAACAAAGCAGGCAGAATTTTGCCATTTTTTGTCTCCTTTAACAACTGAATATTTTGATGATCTAGGATTCAATGTGGAAACTGTTGAGTACAAAAATGTTAGCTTCACCGTCTGGGATGTGGGAGGCCAAGATAAGGTAATTAGGCATATATACCATGCGTATGACATAAGAGTTCGGTGTTTTGCAGTCTTAATTGTATTGATTTGCAGAACACCATCCATTGAATAGAGAGACCCTTTCTTGATATTAAGAGCCTCTATTAATTTAATAGTTAATATATTTGCAGTATAATTTCGATTAAAAATACCATTTTGATGACATAATAACACTATTACGCTGATTCACCTTCAAAATGTATGCTTTTTTTCTTCTTTTTTTTGCAGATACGACCATTGTGGAGGCACTACTTTCAGAACACCCAAGGTCTTATTTTTGTGGTTGATAGCAATG